AAACAATATATCATGATAGAATTTAATTTAAGCATTACTGCAGGATTCACAGCAAAGATTAATAAATTGGTTTCTGTATTTTTTAAGAAACTGATGATTTTTAGACAAAAAGAAAATTGTCCATTTACAGATGGACCCAGCCCATTGAACATGGGAACTCAAAATGGTAGACAAGTAATCAATGGTGACGAATCATTGGAGCGTTTGAGTACATGGATGGATAATCCTATAAATACAGGTGGAGATGATTGGATGGATTGGGATCATACATTTTTATGGACAAAGAAAGATATTTTTCGAACTTCCCTCAGTACAGTTGGCTTGTCTTATGTTGGTGCAGTCTGTACAAAAAAGGCCACATCAGTTAATGAATATATTGGTATGAGCTCTTGGAAAATTGCTGCTCATGAGCTTGCTCATAATCTTGGATCAAATCATGATGGATCACAAAATGGTGCTGCCTGTGGATGGAATAGTCCATATATTATGGCACCTTCAATGGGCACTATTGAAGTTGCCAACATCAGAAAATCTTTTGAATTTAGTCAATGCTCATTGACGCTATCTATGAAGTCATTAATGGAAATGATAATAATGGATTTCCAAGAACCTGCCTTATGAACAAAGTATGTGGTAATGATGCGTTCAATCAGGATGAAGTCTCTAGCAATGATGAACTTCCAGGCATTATATATTCATTGACTGAACAATGCATGTTGAGATACAGTAATGGAGCTGAACATGATAATGAATGTCCACAAGCCAGGGCTAATGTTTGTCAACATCTCACTTGTAAAGTGGGAGATATCTGCTACACTTAACCCAGGAGCTGAGGACTTTTTAGTGTAATTAGTAAGAGAGAAAACAAACATTTTAATTTCAAAACCTTTTATCTCACTCTTTCATTGACATTGCCAATATCACTCAAGTATATTATTTTTAATGGCAATCTTGATGGAATAACCAAAAATTTCCAACTATCTATTTTCCATACTTTTTTATTGTCCTTTTTACATTTTTGAGTTATGGTAGAAGATTTCAAGCATTTGGTAGTGATTGAGCTTCAGCACAAGAAGTACAGATACTAAACAATATAACTCCTGCAAAGAAAGCACAAATACACTTGTCAGAATTGAGGCCAACAGAAAACATCCCCAAAGTGGTAGAAAATGTACCCGGGCAGACTATTCAAAAGAATGCTATATTATTTTTTGCCATGTTTGAATATTAATTCTAGAAATTTAAAATTAGTCAAAAAAATAATAATTTATATCTAAATGATTTTCCAAATTTATTGAAATATATTTTGACATTAACAAACTACAGAAAACAGAAGTACAGAGATTAATAATACACTTCAAAAGACATTTCAGGAAGTTGACTTGCTGTAATTTCACCAGCTTTGAATTTTTCCCAAATTGCTAAGATTTCCTTTTGAATAATTCTTGAATAAGTCTTTTTTTGACATCTTACAATTTTTCTGAAACAATGTTTCAGCAAATTTCCAATCTCTTTACTTTGTTCTTCATTTAAATCACATCGATTTAAATAAAGATTCTTTAGAGTGTTTGATGACATTTGAAGTCCATTACAAATTTTCAAAAATTGGTTACTCCTTTCCTTCAAAGATTGATACAGACATTGATTTGCATTGTTGTTGTCAAGTATCTGTTTGCATTGGGAACAGCAGAATTCATGACTTTTTTTTGGTAATTGTTGACTGCTTGGAAAGCAAAATGTGTGTTGACAAGGTAGCATTTTTTGATCAGTTCTCACCAACAATTCCCAGAATTCGGAGCATTTAGATGGTTTTCATTTGGGATAGGTGACTCAGCAGCCATTTTGAAAACTTTCGTTTTCTACAATTGTAGCTGTATTTTGTGTTTTTCTGATGAATTTCTGTGATTTTACAAACATATGAATAACAATTTATGATAAATTATATTGTTATAGTTCGGAGTTGCAAAACTTTTTATATTTGTAAATAGAGAATGTTTCTAAAAGGTATTACTAAAACATGGAGTGTACTGTTTTATATAAAGAACATTGAATAATAATTATATCATTATTCTTGTTATATTATATTGTTGTGTATATTCCAAATTCTACAATAATTTAATAATCAGGCAAATCACTGAATTTAAATAAAAGCTTACTTGAATTTTTCTGTAGACAGCTTTCATCAGATGGAAGACACAACCTTGAATAGGAAAATTAGGGTAAACTGAGCAAAGAGCACTCCATACAGCTAATTCAAAATCAATTACAAATTTGTCAGGTTGAAAATCATGTGTCAATTTTTGAATCTAATTTTAATAAGATAAAGTTAATGAAACAGAATAGAATAACTGTACTTGGTTGTATTGTAATTGTAGGAATTTCTGCTTCTTCAGAACAGTATTCATCCTTTCCAATCATTTATCAACTTAACAAAGTACTGGTCCAAATACAACCTTTCAAGTTCGTCCACAAATAGTCTTAAGAAATGTAATTTTAGTAGAAATTAATCAACAAAATGCCAGTATTTTGTTTAAAGAATATGTATTGAGTGAATGATTTTTTAGTTCTAAACAAGTAAGTTTAAACAACCAGTTAATGGTTAAAGAACTGAACTACCAAATTGGGGAAATGTATTCCCTTTTATACATTTCCAAAGCTTGGATTCAATTTATCAAAGGATTACATATGTCACAAAAACATAAAAACAATATTTGATGTCACAAAAACATAATTCTCAAACAAAGGCTATGTGGTCTATTAACATCTGTTAATAGTTAAGAAAAACAACTTTGACACATTTCTTTTTTAAAGCGTCAAAGTCAATTCTACAAAATGAAAGCCTTTCAAAAGTTCCACCATTATAATTCATACAAAATAGTAGTATTTCTATAGTTGCACCATTCTAATTCCTATAAAATAGGAGTCTTTATAATGTACCCTAATATCTAAAGTCTAAGCATTGATATATCATTATATCTAAGTGCACAATGCATCACACTTTAACACACCACAACTCAAAAACTATCAGAGATAATTGAATTCTGTAAAAAGATTTGGAATCAGCATATCGATATTAGTCTATGTTCAAAATTTGAAAAGTCTGTGATTATTAATAAGAAATTTAGTTTTTTTTATGACTATTTTAAGGTTTACTACAGATTTTATATATAATGTTCATAGGAATCCATATCTCAGTAACTACTAGACTAATCAAATTTGAAGCAAAATTATTCATGGAATGAGACCGGAAAACGGCCCCAAAAGTATGGTTTTACCCTAACCCTAAACCATCCCTTATATATCCGTAACCCTTTTTCATTACTCCTAACCCTTCGATGGGATCCCCTTAACTACAAATCAATAAATGCTTTTTTCCTCCTAACCATTTCTTAACCCAAAATGCTGCCTTCAAATATCCTTCTTGGGGCCGTTTTCTGTTGATCCCAATGAGACCATATTGAATTACAATGAATGGAAAATTTAGGTTAGGTTTCCTGAATGGAAATGGTAAAGTTAATTGAAAGAAAAGTAGTAATAATTTTTTCTAAAAACATTTTAGTTAAAAAGAAAAAAGTATAGAAATTAGAAAAAAGTAATCTCTATAGAAAGTAAAATTAAAAACATATAAAAGAAAAACACATGAAATATTTATTTTCTATACAATTGATTTAAAAATTGTTTCAAAAGTTTTAAAGGACAAGTTTGCTCTTTTTTATATTCTCTAAAGACAAAGTCAATTAACTGGAATTTTGCAATCCTGAATATACTTTCCACTCTTACAGGTAGAAAATTATTTTTGCTGTAGGGGGTAAAGAATTGAGGAACCCTGATTAGATATAATTTTATCAAACACACCTTTGGGAAGTGGGAGGAAGGCTAATTATCTATGTTAAAAGGTTTTGTATTTCAACTAATGGCAAATTTGGCTGTAATAACTTATCAAAGATTCTTTTTCAAAGTAAACTTTATTATTTTGAAATAATAGTATACTAGCATTAGGGTAGAGGACAGTTGTCCCCCAACATTTGGAGTATATCTTTTTGATTTTCCTAACTCCATTTTATAACACATGTTGTATTGTACATTATTGTGTTGTTCAATGAACACCATTTTTTGATATTGTTTTACTGCCAAAGTAGATAAGTATGCTGATAGAATAAAATATCATATATCCTTGATACTACACTCAAGTTAAAAGAATGATAATATACACTCTGACAATTCATTTTATACTCATCAAAATTTGTATTTTAAAAGTTATGGCTAATACACATTGCAAACTTCTGTTAAAACATCAGCATCTGTTTTATTACTATTTGCAAATTCTTTCCAAACTAAACAAATTTTACCTTCCAATTCTTTATATTTATGTTTCGGAGTTTGTCATATCTTTCTCTCTGATAACAGCTTTTCATAAAGAGCAACAACTTTTGATTCATGATTTAACCTCAAAATCATGTTATAAAAATTAACCCTTTGCCCAGATTGACTGTTTAATCAAGGATGCCAAGACTCTACATCATTGCTGGTTCTGATAGTGACTTGATAGATTGACCAATTGTTTATTTTCCATTTGTGCACTTAGAAATATCAATGTAATAATATTTAGACTTAAGATATTATACAAGTTTAGAAAGTGAACATTTTTAACTCTCACTTCAGCCCGCATAATTTGAAGTAGAATACAATTTTCCTGACCCTAGAAATGCCCCAAAATGTACCTTGAAATTCTATCACAACTTTATGCCAAATTTTCGTTATAGTATGATGGCCAGTCCACACAGATCATTTGTAAATTTAGAGTTATTCCAAATGATATTTTAAGATTAGCAGTTAGCCTTTCAGCTCTATTCTTGTTAATACATCTTAACAAACATAATAAGTTGACCTTGATGCTAATATTTATCACATGAATATTTGTTTTGAATTTTGTTTTAAAATTCAAGAAAGGGTCAAGGACATTTGTTGTGTGCTGTTTAATTACAAGAGTTTAAAAGTGTACTCTTTTGTATATAAAAATGTATTAATTTTCCGGTTAAACTATCTACTTATAGTGACTTTAAAGATAAGATGAAATCTATCGTTTACAAAATACGTATATCATGAATAATACCAAACAGATACCTGTAACAATAAAACCAACTGCAAAAGCTGTCATAAGAGTTTTATAAGTGTAAACTTCATCTTCCAAGTCATTAATTTGTTTTTTTAGAAATTTCCTTTCTTCATCAGAAACAGTTACCTTCTCGTATTTAGTACTAGTTGATATTCCTTCAAAAGAATTTTCAGTTGAATACTGCTCTGTTTCGCCACTTGGTGCAGTTGTCTCCTTATCTTCATTCCATTTTGTAGATTGTTCCTTCAAAATTTTGGTTGTTTTTAAATCACCATTTATTGGCTTTGAAGTTGTTGATAATTCCATTTCTTCTTTGGTCTGAAATGTTATATCATTTGTCATTGAACTTGTAGACAACTCTACTTCCTGTTGTTTTGTAGTTGTAATGCTTTTGGTTGAAGAAATTTCTGTAGTTTTAAAATTATCATTTCCAATTGTTGTTAGTTGATCATCACCTTCTCCAATAATTTGTTTAACTTGTAAACCTGTAGTGTTCATTTCAGGTGGAAAAATCAGCACTGTAACCTTACTTGTTGATGTACATGGATTATCAGATTTATCATAAACACTTATAATTATTTCATATTTTCCAGTATTTAATGGTGATTTCACAGATACTATTTTATTTGTTCCATTTTCTATTGAAATACCAACTTCCTGAGTACTATATCCACTTATGGAAAAGTCATAGATCAACTCGGAATTTAAGCCAAGATCGTTATCTGTAGCAGTTATTTGGTAGATAAGCGAACCTATAGGAATATCTGATTTAATTGATTGATCCACTGGCTTTTCAATGGTTGCACATTCATTTATATCAATTACTGAAAGGCTTAAAATTGCTGTTGTTGTAAATGCTGGTAATCCATTATCAATTGCATCAATTTTCAATTCATATTCTCCAGGTTTAATTGGTCCTCTTGCAGTAATTCTTCCATTTATACTATCAATATCTACTGGTATTGGAGATGAATTGAGTGCATAATATACTATTCCAGCTTGTCCACTATCTGTATCATTAGCTTCAACAATAAAAAGCAGTTCTCCCTCTTCAATATACTCTGAGACAACTGATGAGTAATTGGATATGAGAAATATTGGCTTTGCCAAATTTAATTGAATTTTTAGAGAGCAATTTTCTCCTTCAAAACCCTTTTCACATTGGCATTGATTTGCTCCTATACACTGACCATTCTTTGAACAATCCGCAACGCCGCTACAACCTGGAATATTACAAGAATCTCCATACCAGTTTTCATCGCACAAACAATTATCAAATTGTTGGCATTTGCCATGACCTGAACAAAATGACAATTTCTCACATGAGAATAATGAACAATCATCTCCTGCAAAGCCATTTTTACATTTGCATCTATTCGGTGAATCACAAACTCCATTTGGTTCACAGCTGTTATCACACACTGGTTGTGAGCAATTTTCAGATTTATAACCAATGTCACAAGTACACTGATCATCTCCAATACAAATTCCATTTCCATAACAGTTATTCTGCTTTGGACAAGCTATTACTTCACTGCAAAAATCACCCACAAACCCTTTGTAACATTTGCAAACATCAGGCTGAATACACTCTCCATTGGAGGAACAATCATCTCTACAAATTGGTTGTGAACATGACAAACCTTTCCAACCTTTAAAGCAAGCACAATTTCCAGGCTCAACACACAAACCATTTCCAGAGCATTTATTCCAATTTTCACAAGTGTAGATTGAACAATTCTTTCCACCAAAGCCAATATTACATTTACAAACATTGTGATCGATGCAGACTCCTCTATTTGAGCATCCTTCATTGCATATAGCTTCCTCTGAACAATTGGCCGATATCCAACCATCGTTACATTTGCAAACATTCGTGTCAATACATTTACCATTTGATGAGCAGTTTCCTTTGCATTCTGCAGTCTCATTGCAAGAACTTCCTATAAATCCAGGTTCGCATTTACAAAATCCATCTAAACAATTGCCATTATCACATTTTCCACACTTTCCATAATCACAGCTCAATCCAGACCAATCTTTAATACAAATACAAGTTCCATTTACACAATTTCCTCTATGAGAACATTGATTTGGGCAAAGTGTCGATTGTAAACTAATTTGTTTACCTAAACTTTCATCATTAGTCATAACAATATCAGTAATACATTGATCTTGTACAATTTGACTGCTTTTTCCAATTGAACAAATCTCTTTTGCTTTAGTTACTCGTTCTTTGGGAAAATCTTTAATAGAATAGAGTGGTTTGTGAGTAGGATCGTTGTAAGATTGATCTATAGAATCGTCTTTGTGAAAATTGGATAATGAACTGGACCATGAATTGGCTAAACCTCCATCATCTCTTATAGTCAATGGTATCCTCCATGATTCTGTAAATTCGATAAAAGATGTATAATTTGTACCATCCGGTCCCATTAAATCATCGGAAGGATCATCATTCATAAAACCGCATAAACCAGATGTTCTATTGAAAAGTTTTACAATAGGACCAACTGTTACACTTAAATATTGACGTTTCATTTTAGGACTAAATGATGCTGCAACAAGCAGGGATTCACCATGGGCATAGTTAATTGATACTAATAGAACAGTTGGATTATCATCACCATTGGATTTCAAAGTAGATGATATATCCATACGAATTGTTTCATTATCGAACAATAGATTCTTATCATTTTCCAAATCGATTTGAATATTTCCATCTAACCTTAAAGTTGGTAAATCATTTGGTGAACTTTTTCCATTGGTTGTTATAGTTAACACTGATATCTGACCAACTTTTATAGCCATTTGACCTATGAATGATGTTCCTTTGTATCCAAAAAATCTATATTGGTATGCCAAAGATCTGGATTTACATCCCCAAAATTGTCCAATACCAAAGTAATCAAATGATCTACCATCAAATGTTTCCAAGTGAGGATCTCCCCACATAGCTCTGGGTAACATTCTTTCACAAGACTGTCCTGTAAAGCGTCTATTACAAATGCAGCTTGCTCCACACTTTCCAGATGCTTTACATACGCCTCTACCACTACAAGTGTTATCAGGTGGACAGAATGGTTGATCACAATTACGCCCCTTTCTTTGAGGCGTACATACGGAGTTGACACCACAGTTGTTCTTACAAGGACAAGATCCATCAGGTGCTCGAGAAACAATTGATCCATCAGGACATTTATCACATTTTGGACACTTGCAGCCATCTTTTTCCATTATCGATTCACTTTTATCAGGACATTTGCAAGGACACTTAAAATCTGGTTTATCCAATGGTTTCCTAGATCCATCCTGGCAACAAGAGCACTCTTTATCAGGCAACTTCCAACTGCTTTCTTTCTTCTCTCCTTTGCAGATGCAAGGACATAAGCAAGCTTTATATTTTTCAGAAGGAATACCCATTCCATATTTTCCATTCTCCTTTTTACAAATACAACACTTTTGCGAAATCTTCCAATCCTTTGGTAGGCTGAAACAGTGTCTGAAAAAAAAAACCAAATCAATTTGTCATCATCAATATCTCTCTTTTTTTTTTAGATTTAAAAAGTTCACTTGAAAATTGGAGATAAACCAGTTGAAATTGGTGTGTTTGATGAAAGTTGAATAAAAAGAAGACTATAAGTTCCAATTAGATTTGAATTTCCAAAGTAAACACCAGCACTATTTGGAGTATCTGGATCAGTGCAATGAGTAGTATCACAAAATCCTAGACGAAATACGATATCTTGATTTAATTGCAATTCAATTGAACTTTCCAAAGATAATTTGAATTTAAAATCAAATTTTGTTTCTTAAAAATAAAAAAAAAGTAAAAAACCTAATGAAAAATGATTTTAGTGGAATACTTTGCAGTTTCCCTAATAATGATTTGACAATTCCTCTTCTTCTTCTTCTTCTTCCCCTATTTCCTTTGATCTTTTTATAAATCTTTCGAATTAAATTCAATTTTTCACCTAAGCCTACACTAGGCCAGGTAAATTTTACAGCTCCCGATGTTCCTACAGTGATAGAGGTAGCTGCTGACCAACTTCCACCAAGACCACCTCCTCCTGAACCTTTATAAGCTCCTCTACCAATTTTATTAGCACCTAATCCTCGATTATAACGCACGCCTGCGTTATATCCTATATAGTTGTTGGTATTTCCTGAAAAATCTGCTTTAGCCGCAACGCTACCAGTGACTGGACCAACTTTGAAAGGTCCTATTCCTATTTTTCCAGGTACAGGTATCAAATAAATTGGAATAGATATTGGTATATTCCTTCTTCGAATTATTGTTGAAACTTTCTCATACAAAGAACTGGTATACTCTCCGTTAAACGATGCTTGAATGTTGCTGTTAATTGTAAATCGTCCATCTGCAGTGAGTTTTGCCCTCTCAACAGCAAAATCTTGATGAGATATCTTCAATTCGAAATTTATTGCGGCTGATAGACTTAATTTTCCAGATACTTGAACACTTCCTCCGCCTCCCTGGAATAGAGAGGGAAGATTGAATAAACTCATCTCAATGTATTTTTTGTTAAAAATATACTCACTTTAACACTTATAGAGAAACCGGAAGATAATCTCTTACTTAATCCCTTTGTGAACATTGATCTTTTCTTTCTAACAACTTTTGTTAAATTGGATCTATTGTAGTCGAACGAATTTAAATTGGCCGATATTGATCCAAGATCTAAAACTTCAATTTGCCTCCAACCATTCCTTAATGATTTCAATTCTAATACAAAACCTAAAGATGGTAGAGCACTTCTTCCAACAACTAAATCTCCAATTGTTAATACTTTCTTAAAATTATCCCTTTGTTTATAATGTAGACCGTTCATACTATCACCAGTATCGCATTCCATTTCTGGTTCAATATCAATTATAGAATCTAAACGATTTACATCATTTGTGCTTAGTCCTTGAGAGCATTCGTACAATTTAGTTTCGATAAAAACATCAGCGTCACTCCTTCTAAACTTTGTAACTTGTTCTAAATATCCTTGCGGTTTACTGACCAATAGCAATTGATCTTTCACAAGACTGGGATTAGTGGATTTAGTCAGGATATTATAGGACCAAATTGTTTCTTCATTATATTTGTATTCATCACCTGTACATTTCAGAATGTTTGTCATTGAATCTAATTCCAGATATGTTTGATTTGATTGGAGAAATTCATCCATTTCCTCTTCCGTTGGAGAATTATCTATTGATTTTGGATTTTGTATGATGTTATCATTCGATTCGAAACGGCTATGAGCGTATTTAAAAATATCTAGAGGATTGGCGAATTTTACTAAAATTCCTAAATATTTTGCAGATGTTCTCCATACTTTAAGCACTCTATGCATTATTCCTCTTGCCTGAGTACTCAATATAATTTGTCCACTACTCAACAATCTTTGATAAGTTGGAATAAGAAGAATTTCGTAATCTTCTTCAGTGTCATCTTCATTCGACAGTTTCTCCTTTGTAAAACATCTAAATATCTTTGTGGTCGGTGGTATCTTGATAACATTATCCTTCAATTCGTAAAAATCTTGTCTCTCTATTCGAGACAGATCCGGCTGGGGAACCCCTCCCTTACATCTTGTCTCATTCCAGGTTGCGCAACCAGATTGTTCGTTATCAAAGCAATATTTAAGATCGTTGCACTCTTGACAAACACCTTTTGTATCCTTTGAAGGATTTTTACAAATTGTATCATTACAGGCAACAATTTCAATCTCCCTTGAACAATTTTTGTTCGAGATTGATATACAATTTCTATAAAACCAATTAGGACAGGAAAAGTATGGTTTATATTCATTTCCGGGTAAGCATTTTTGAGTTGAATCACACCAACCGCAACCCTTTTTCAGTGTACATTGATCGCAAGAAAAGTACCTTGAACAAGAGGAAATCGCACAATTATCGCCTCTCCATCCATCATTGCATTTACAAGTGTTTGGTCCAATGCATGAACCTCTCGCTATCACAGCCGAACAGTTGGAAACATGATTACAATTGAATATAGAACAATCGGTACCTTCCCATCCCGAATTACAAATACATATTGTTCCACTACAGATTCCCCTTCCCCTACAATTATTTGGACAAATACCAAATGTGCCTTTACGACAAATCCAAGGTCTAACCTCATTATCAAGGGGAATCGAGTCTCTTGTCCAAATATCACTGATTTTTTCTTTACCATCCAAATCTGTATATAAAAGTTCATTAAGCAAACTGGAAGAAGATTTCAAGTAGTTGTCAGATAGGAGATAGGCTGTATTAGATTTACAATGATCGTTGGCTTGTCTAATTGAACCAGCTCCAAAATGTATGTAAAAACAACCACTGGAAATGAATTTCCAAGCTACTGGACACGTTTTAGATGTTGAAATTTCCTTTGGTTCCGATTGTAGCAATGGTAAAACATTCATAATTGCAACATTATTTATAATTCGACCATCTAAAATTCTTTTTAAAACATTTGATGTAATTGCAGTATTCCACCAATTATTACCAAGATCTCCAAAGATTAAATCATCTTTTGCAGTTGAAATTGAAAAATCATAATCTGTATTTGGATTATAGAAGATACTTTGTTGAATATCGATTGAATACGATTCGATTGCATGAACAATACCAACAGTAGTATCTCTAGCTATGTTATAATAGAATGAACATGACGTAATGAAAACTGGTAAGAGTTTACAATTTTTTAAACTAAGTAATTCATTTTCCAATAGATTTTTATAAAGGAAATTTCTTGTAAAATTTGATTGGAAATTTTCGAGAATAAAGAGACGTTTTGACCCAGAATTGTTTTCAATAGAACATTTTTGAACCAGTGCAGTAGCCTTGTTAACTCCTTTATTAATTGCAGTCAATATTATTGAATTTTCACTTTCCATTATTGAATTCTGAGTGAAAACTAAATTGGAAATTCTTGAATGGAATTTTGAATGAAAAATCACATCAACTGCCGTTGTTTCTTTTAAATATGGAATATTTAAATTTCTTAGTAGAATATAAGCGCTTTGAAGATGAATTTGAATTAGTTTGTCAACGTTGTTTGTCATTTGATTGAATGACATTTTATCTAACCAAATTGTATTGTGTCTATCCTGATCGTTGTTCATAATATCAATACATTTAACAGTACAATTGTTAAATATTGTATTTGTAATTGTCAATTGATTTGCGGATTTTTCCGATGGACAATATTCGTAAACAATTCTATCAATTCCAACTATTCCAATACAAGAACTCTCTAGTATTGTTGCTATTAAAATTCGGAATCTTTTACCAATATACTTGGCTAAAGATACTCTGTAAAACTTCCAAGAACTTCCGCAAGCAACACTTTCCACCAATTCCGTTCTATTGTCGGATTGAGCGTAGATTTTTAAATGTTTTACTCTGTCATACTGTATCATGTAGGCGTATAGAGTTATAAAGCAAACTTTATCGTTCTGGTTGAAATATTCATCAGCTAGCAAAACTTGTTCATGTTCTAGTGTAGTGCACGTATAGCATCTCCTATTTTTTTGTGTGAAATATCCTAGATAGTGGCCAAGTTGACTTTGGGGAAAGTCAACATCTGCTCTCTTAGCTTGTATACTTGTTGCATTATATCCAATAATTCTTACAAATGGATTATTGAGAGGATTATCTCCAATAGATAGTTGTGAGTTTTTCCACGTGCAAAATGATTCTTCAAAATCGCAATATCGGGCTGACAATAAGAGATTAATACAATATTATTGAAATCGCTTAATGCAAATATTGAAAAAAAAAACTGTACCAGGAACTTTTACAGCTTGAACAATAATTCTGAAAATGTTCGGTCTATTCGTATAAAAGTAAGTTATCAATTTAATTGTTCTTTTTACTGATAAAAATTTGAATATCTGTTTAAAAAAGGTATTGATTTAAAAGGGGAGAAGAGCAGACATCAATCAAACCTTATCTTTGGTGAAGAAAGTTGAAAGTAAATCTGAACTTTGCCAATCATATACTTTTAAAATTTCATCATGATTTACATAACAGTTTGAACAGATTGCTCTAATTTCAATTTGATAACCCTTAGGACATTCGAATACTGCTGTACAACCTATATAATTTTTAAAAGAGTTAAATTGATGATTAAACCAATAACCCATTGTATCAGCTTTCAACTGATACTTTTCTTCAGCTGAACAGAATGAAAATGGATTCCATAGTCTTTCCAATAAAATCTCTGAATCTAACCAATCAAACATTTCAGTTTCCTTGAATTCTTTCCAAACAATTCCATTTTTAACGTTTGAAAATTTTGATAGAGAAATATGCATTTCGTGATTGCTATTGCCAAAATACATTCCATTTTCTTCTGCGTCTTTAACGCTAAATTGGCTACCTTCCCATGTTTTTAAATTGTAACTATCGATAATTGTTAAAGCTGTTATTTGATTCGACCATACGATATTTTTCATTTTTGGAGCAGGACCGGAAATGGACGACAATCCAACTGTATTAAATTCTATATATTGAAAAATACTTTGTTGTTTTGCATTGAATAGAAATATTCCATTTCTATTCAATTTTCTATGACAATAAAATTTTGGTAAGTAACGTAAAATTGATGATGCTATTGTTCTACTGGAATTGAAACAATCTTCTAAATTGTCCATCCAACTTTCACAATTGACAATCGTTGAACTGCGTGCAACTGATGAATAAGACTTGCCATGATTTACACCTGTAAAAGAGAAAACTTAATAAGAAAGGAAAAGAGAGAGAGAGAGAGACTTACCTAAATGATAATCATAACCAAAATAACTACAAATAATCCTATTTTCATGCCATAAACTTGCTTTATCAGCAAATTTCATATAAAACCAATTATCATTCTTTTTAATTTGTAAATAATTATTGTACAATCTCAACGTTTTCAATTGTTGTCTGCTACTAAAGATAATTGGTTTTTTCAACGTTCCTATGGCAACCACTCTGTCCCGAAATACTATTGTATCAAAACTATTCCTCAAAGTGATTTCAACACCTGGATGGATAGTTACATTCCTGTCGAATACAACATTTCCGGTTAGAATAAGATTTTCCTTTACCTCGTATGGTTTATCTATAAAACCGGAAAAGGATTTAGGATTCAGTTTTGGTTTTTCAATTTGTTCCAGCTGTTCCATTTCTATTGTTTTATAGAATGGCGAAATATTCATTCTGGCTCTATGGCCGTTTTGTTCACTAGAATAGATTCTGTTGTATGGATAAGCTGTACCCCAAAAGTTACTTTTAGCATTAATATTACATTCGTTAACTCTGCCCATTGGACATTCAATGAGATTATATAATTCGTATTTGAATTGAGGATTATTGAAAATATTACTAGAGATCCTTGGCAAAGAATCTCCAGCTAATAATAAACTATACAATCCACCAGTATTGTTTACCAGTTTATTTTCTAAAAATTTCGCCTCATCATTCAATAATTTTCCAGATGCCCAAAAATTAACCAACATGTCACTAACCCAACAATTTTTAATCGAATTTCCTTTTATCAAAAGTAATCGTTTTGCAATTAACCAAGATTTTACAATTTCCTTTGAATTTATATTCGTAAAATCATTATCTATTATGGCCACATCATCACTAATTTCTTTAGAATAGCGACTATGCGAAAGAACTAATGTTGAAGTCGTTGTTGTTATATCTTGAAATCTATTTTTAGAAATTTCAATATCTCCATCAGTACCAAGAAGATAAATAATTTTTGAACAGGATCTGATACTTTCGAATGTATTACCAAAGATTTGAATATATCCAAAGTTGGTTAAACTAATAACTTCTTCTTCTCTAAGACAATTCATTTGCAGAAAATGATTGTTTTTTATAAGAATTGATGATGTAATCATATTTTCAAAACCATCTTTCATTGTTGAATATGAATTTACAATTGGTCGCCAAAAGATTGCATCCCTGTTCATTGATAATACTACATTATCCTGGAAGGATACTGAATAATTGTTCATCAATTTATTGTTGATAAGACCAACAAAGAAATGAAAAGGTGTCGCTCTATTGAAATTACATTTGTGAATATCAGTTTGAAATTCTTGGAATTTCACCATATATAAATTTACTGCTCTTGTCATACCAGTAAAATTGGAATTATAAACAAATAATTTAGTATTCTGCAAAACATTAGAAGTAATATACACTGCAATTTTTTTTCCTTCAAAACTGCAATTGTTAATTGATATTTCAGTTATGATGGGTTTGAATGAATTTTCATAATGTATAGCTAATGTTTCCTCATAATTAAAGAATACATTTTCAAATTTAATTGATAATTGAGAATTTTTTATAAAATGGCGCCGACCAATTGGAATACTTTCAATCAGAATGTAGACAGAAGCTTGTCTGTCAGACCAACGAAATTTTGGATTTACTGTAACGTTAGCCTGATTATCTTCAACTAAATAGTCCAATCTATCACCATTCAGTTGATGTTTTCCCAAATAATCTTCAACAAACCAATCATCAGTCCTAACGTGTCTGTTTGTCTTATAAATTGAAAATTGGAGAGACGACGAAACGACGGTATGAAATTGTAAAAGGCATTTTACAAATAATCCATAATCATCAAAAAATAAAATCAACAATTGACCTTCTTCAACAAACAACGATTGATGACAATTTGCTCCAGAGATGACTTTTTCATCTCTATTGAAATCATAATCATTTTTACCAATTTTTACGTGTCTTAACTGCATTCCATTATTAATTATATTCGAATTTGTTATTTTTAAATTTCCTCTATGATTTATGAAAAACTTAGTATCTGAACCAATTGGAGAGGCAATGTCAATATTGTCGAGAAGATATTCGTCATTTCCATAAAAGTTTAGAATTTGCAGAGAAAAAAATGTATTTGTTCTAATTCGAATGTTTGTTAGATTTTCTTTTAATAAATCTATGTATAGGGAATATTTGAGCGATCCCGTATCTTGTAAGGTAAATCCACTAATTGTACTTGGTAGAGAATTTTTTAAATAGCCAATACCACTCCATTTAATTGGATGACATTGCATTCTCAAATGATACGAACATGTTTTCATGATCACGTGACATTTACTTAAATCTAATCTATTGCAATTTGTATGCGTAATTGCCTTAAAACTACCTTTATAGCTTCCTCTTAAAGCCGTATATTGCGGACTATATCCCAATGATAGACAAATTGCTGCTCTGGTTGAACTATGAATATTGCCATCACCGCAAATTGGGTAAATTTGTCCCAAATGATTATAAGATATTTCATTATTAAAATCCATAGTTAAATTCGTATCGCTACGACTACTTGTCGATACTGTTTTGAAAATGATACTTTCCGCTTGTGTTCCTAATATATCGAGTTTTCCGTATACTTGAACACCGCATGAAGGCCAAACATCAATTGTTACACCTTCTTCAATTCTTAACCAAGATCCTTGCGTTATTCTAAGACTACTTTTCAAAATGTATTTTCCAGCTTTAATCGTTGTTGCTGTTGTTCCATTATTGACAACATCTCCACCCAGTATTCCATCAGTAAATGGTAGCTGAACAACTGAACTGCTTTCTTCAGTTTTGTTTACATTGATATAATAAGGAAACAGATTGAAATATCTATAACCATCAACCGTTTGCTTTGAGAGAATTCTTTCATGGATGAAATTTTTGGAAGAACCCCAAAAATTTTTTGTACAATCAATAGGTGGAGCTCTATGTGGAGAGATGGCTACTTCTCGACTAAACTTTGGATTATTGAATATATTCTCTACAATCTTAACCGGTTTAGTACTATAAATTTTAATAACTGATAATTCATAATCTGGAAAATTTTGCGGTACACTCTCTATAAGACCCGAATTATTTTTGAATTGATTATTCATAATTTCAACAGAACTTTTCCGACTCAACAGATGTAAATGTAGTAAAGGTTTTTCACTAATTGAATTTTCAATAGTATTATTCCAGAAAAGGAAATTAGTGTCTGCATAGTAAAAATCACCATGATGATGATAGAGAAAAGGACCTTTTATACCATCAATAATATTATTACGAATGTTTAAATAGTATACATCATACAAGACAATTCTATAGACGCTACCATCATTAATTCTATTCAGAAATTGGTTACCATCCAATAAGAAGTCAGTTTTGAATTCTAGTATATTTTGCCGAATATCAATACCATTATCTATAAATTGATTATTATAAAGATATAGATTAACGTCATTAGTTGTTTCAATTCCATTTCCATTCGAATGATTTTTAAATTGACAATTACTGGCAGTTAATTGAATAAATGTGTCAATATTTCTATCAGTTTTCCTCATATTTATTCCATTTACATTATTCGAAAATATTCTACTATTTAAAGTTTTAATTACGCCAGTTAAAGCAATAAATTCAATTCCGAAATTGTTTGAATGAATACTGCAATTTTGAAAAATTATCTCTGAAGGTGGAAAATAGGCGTAGACGCCTTTTTCATTATTATTTAATATTTGAAAATTATCAATAGATAACAAATAGTAATTATTCAAAATTTGAATCCCATCTTTTCTATTCTCAGATATGAAACCATTTTTTAATTGTTGTAATTTACTTTCTAAAAAGGATAAAAAAGAAAAAATTAGACGCATTTTTTTTTTGTCTCATCTTCAAAATTTTTTACCTCTCTTCACTGAATTGATATAAATTTTGATCTCTCCAAACCGTCCAGTATCATATTTGAATTCCATATTTTCATTGGACGATATATACTTAAGAACATCAGTTACTTTTGTTCTAAAGTAATCTTGAAGGATTGTTGAAAATTTATTGGCATTGTCCTTTATAAACATTTGATCCATTGTTCCTTTAACTGATACAACTACTTCTAAAACTTCTCCTTGGTTTGCTTTCGCTACAAATGACCTTGAACATCTAGAGCCAGCTGTCAAAATCATTGGATATACAAAATTTGTACAATAGCTACAAGTTAAAGAGCATAGATTCTTTGTAGGAGTAGTATCATCACTGAAAACATCTTTCATTCTGCCAGTTGACATTAACACCAAACCATTTTGACTATTGTCTTCAATGAGAAGGAGGAAGAGAGATTATCATTATGTATGCAAATTTGACAAAACACTTACTTTTTGACTTGATATTCTCAACGGATAGACGATTGTGGGAATCTAAAATAATTCCATTACCAATTGAATCTTCAACGTTGATATTCTCTATTTGATAGTCATATTCATTAATAAGCCGATTCACGAGATAAAAGGAGGGATTCGATTCTTTTACTCCTACTATATTCACATTCCTATTTAAAAACAGATTTACATCAACAACAAAAAAACATAATTTATCAAACAAACTGAATTGATTGAACATTCGAATCGGCAATGTGTATTGAAATCTCCCTACTGTCAATATTCTTTACATTTGCCTCTGAAGAATTACCAATAAATATACCAAGACCAATTCGATGACCTTGACATTTCAATTTAAAATAATGATAATTCTCTTTACCATTGTAATCTATTAAAGAAATGTTGTTTTTGTTTTGTAAATATTTGAAAAAATTTATTCTTTCAACTTACTTTGAAAATTACAATCATTTAAATCTTGTTTTGTAGAATTGCAATCCAATTTTACAACATTACTTGAGGAATTTGTAGATTTGTAATGATTATGATTGTTGTCATGGTTATAATATCCGAAATGTTTGCAGAGCAACTGCAATTTAAGAAATAAAAACAAAAAAATATTAAAGAGAGATACTTTTATAAAGACATACATTTTTAAAATTTGTATAATTGTAATTATCAATATAGGCGAACGGTTCGTAGGATTTTCTTTCCGTATTGTAGAATGTTGGAATGAATGATGTAGCATCATCTAATTGCGGAAAATTGATAAATACTGAAAACTGCTGCTGCTGGAGTGAAATATATTTTAAAATTTACCGTAAAAGTTTTCATCATGATTTGGAATTTGGATTAAAGATGTCTGATATTTTGGATCTCTTTCCAAAATGATTTTCTTCTCTTCTCTTCCAACAATATCAACTATTCCATTTGTAACTACAATTCGACTATTTTCCTTATTGAATAATAATCTGGCACCTGGAACAATCTTTAAAGATTTTGGTCTTATAGTACCATCAATGACGTGTTGTCCTTCTTCAAGAACTAAATCTTTGTCCTTGTAAGAAGACGGTGTTATTTTTAACGAAAATGAGAAAAAAATATTAAATTGTAGAATGAAAAGAAGGAAGAAATGATAATAGTTTTTAATCATTTTGTAAAGAGAAAACAAGGATAGTTTTAGTTTATCGGTTAAATTGTTAAAAAGGAAGTTACGCAATCAACCACTGACAAAGAATCTGTGAGTAAATGATTTTTTTCTATATATACAGTATATTTATATTAGTCATTCATATTTATTAAGGCAATTTGAATATCAACTACAAATCAATAATATATTTTACTGAAATTTCTTCTTTGGTCATATAATCTATAAGATTTTTCTTTATATCAATTGACAAGGAAGTAAATTTTTGCAAATCAAGGATTATTGATTTTTGGAATGGTATGTGTCTGTGCGGGGTTTTTTCTACAATCTAGCCTTAAAATAAACAAAATTCCAGAGAAAAACTGGACACACCTTCTGCAAATTTTTTACTACAATAAAGTTGGTGCGTTTAACCAGTCCCAAATTGCCTTTGAACCACGGCAGCAATCACTTAGTATCTCATTTGTAATAATAGAAATCAAGTGAAATTTTTATCATATTGAAAATATTGTCTATTTTATATTTGGAAAAGAGAGAGACACAAAATCTGTAATATAGTTTATGCCCATTTTCAGTAAAATGTCAACTACTACACAGGTATTATTTTTTGAAGTATTTTTTCTTCCTCATTAGGTCAATAAAAAGTATTTCGTAATTTCTTTGTGGTAATTTTCTAATTAATTCTTAAAAGACAAAACAACAATAGAATAGAACAGAATCATTTGCCAAAAAAAGACCTTTTATACTCTGATTACTTAAAAAAAGTTTAAAATGGATAAAGATATACATTTTTCTTTCATCTTTCAATATTTTCAATTCTAAATGTAACAGCAAAGTTAGGTGTAAGGTTTCAAAAAGGTAACTATTCAAGGATCCAAAATCAGCAATGCTTAATCTATTTCCACAGAATGGATGAAATGAATTAAATTGAATTGTAAAACAATGGAGCAAGAGTTTTTGTTGGGACTGTAAGTATTTCTCAATAACTAAGTCATACACCAGACAATCAATTATTAAAATAAAAAATGAACTTTTTATAATTACACAAAACACAGAAAAGATACATCAGTTGGAATAAATTTTTGGAAAATGCTTTAGAAAATTTTTTATTTCAGTAATTTGTTCTTCAGTCTCACCAAACCTTGAAAACAAAATATCCCTTAAAGTATTTGATGAACATAGGAGTGCATCTAAAATCATTAGTATTCCACTTCCCACATCTTCATTCCACAAGTGAATATATTCTAATTTAGTACATAATTTTAGCATATTTGCAATAATTCTGCATTGATTTTCTGTGATATTACAATTGGATAAAACAATGCCCTTCAAAGAATTTGATGAATGACTGAGTCCATCACATATTTCAAATAATGCATTTCTCATTTCTTGATTATTTTTGAAATTAATGATCTCCAATTTGGAAAAATGTTTCAGCATGATTCCAATTTCTTTCAATTCATTTACGGATAGATCACAATAACTAAAGTCAATATGTTTTAGAGTATTTGATGAATGGATGAGTCCATTACATATTTCTAATACTCCACTTCCCATATTTTCATTGTGACTAAACTTAATTGCTTCTAGTTTTGAACAATTTCTCAATGTATTTCCAATTTGTGTAGATTGATTTTCAGTTAGATTGCAACCACCAAAGTTAATTGTTTTTAAAGTATTTGATGAATGACTGAGTCCATCACATATTAGGAATACTTCGTATTGCATACTCGCATTACTATTAAAATTAATGATCTCCAATCTGGAACAATTTTTCAGCATGATTCCAATTTTTCCTGATTGACTTTCAGTTAGATCACAACTACTAAAATCAATGTGTTTTAGAGTGTTTGATGAATGAATGAGTTCATTACATATGTTTATTAGTCCTCTACTCATATCTTTATTGTAACTAAAGTTAATTATTTCCAATTTAGAACAATGTTTCAGCATATTAGCTATTTGTGTAGCTTGAATTTGATTTAGGTCACAATCACTAAAATCAATTTCTTTCAAAGTATTTGATGAATAAATAAGTCCATTACAAATCTCTAGTAATCCACTTCCCATATTTTTATTTTCCCCAATGTTGATTATTTCTAATTGAGAACAAAGTGTCAGCATATTTCCTATTTTTATGGATTCATTTTCAGCTAGATTGCAACCTCTGAAATTAATTTCTTTTAAAGTATTTGATGAATGACTGAGTCCATCACAAATTTCATATAATCCACTTGTCATTTTACATTTATTATAAAAACTAATGCTCCGAAATTTAGAAGAAAAGACTCTATTATTCATTTTTAGTTCTTCATTTTCAACATAATTATTGTAACTAAAGTTGATTATTTCTAATTTGGAACAATGTTCCAGCAATTTTCCCACTTGTATGGATTTACTTTCATTTAGATTGCAATCTCTTAAATCAATTTCTTTTAAAGTATTTGATGAATAAATAAGTCCTTTACATATTTCTAGTAATCCATTTTCCATTTTTGTATTGCAACTCAACTTGACAATTTCTAATTTAGAACAATGTGCTAGCATATTTCCAATTTGAGTAGATTGATATTCAGTTAGATTGCAACCACCAAAGTTAATTTCTTTTAAAGTATTTGATGAATGACAGAGTCCATTATATATTTCAAATGATCCCTTGTCCATTTTCTGAACATTTTTAAAATCAATGCTCTCCAAATTAGAACAATTCATCAGCATCATTCCAATATCTCTTAATTGACTTTCATTTAAACTGCAATTACTAAAACCAATGCATTTTAGAGTATTCGACGAATAAGTGAGTTTATCACATATTTTTGAAAATCCTTTTACTATGATCTCAACGTAACCATAGTCGATTGTTTTTTCCAATTTTGAACAACATTTAAACATGTTTCTAAATTGTGTGAACTTGTGGTTATAAAATGGGTATACTTCTACAGTAACCTCAGTGCGCAAGTTCAATATAGATGCTTGGTAGAAAAGCATAGCCTTAACTCAATGCTATTTAATATGAATGCTTAACAATAGCATTGTGCTCAACGTATGCACAATACTTTCAACATATATAAACCAAAATGATTGCGTGCACATGCAGGTATAAACATTTAATAATTCTATTTTCCTACAACAACAAAACAAGAAACAAGAAGAGATGTAGGAACCGAAAAAGACAAACAACAACTAAATAATGATATTATGGTCATTCTGTAAAAGCAGTTGTCTCCATTCCAAATTTAGACAGTCCCGTTGAATATGTTTTAAAATTTATCAAATTTCTTTTACACTTTTGTGTTATTATACCAGACTTTCATATTTTTGTTACTTGAGAACAGACCAGGTAAGTCAGAAAAAACCAAGATGACATATGACAAAAGAAAATCAAGGGGAGAAAATCAAGTTTTTTGAAAATTTGCTAATGAAAATAATGTTGGTATAAGAATTAATGATGACAAATTGGTTTCGGGACAAATACTGTATATATGTATATCAAATACACCAAACTCAACAATGTTTACTTATAAACATTAAAAATGTATTAATTAATGGAGGAATATCACAATTGCTAAGATAAATAATGTAATAATTCAAAAATTTTTAATCAAATTAAAGATTTACATAACAGAAAAACAATGTTTTTTATTTATTTTATGTCATAATTTTAAAGGTTTTAAACATTCTATTCTGAATTTTTCTGTGGAAGACCTTTGCAGAATATGATAGTAATGTCAGCCAGTGTAATATCTAACCTATTTAAAGACTGGTTACTCTCCCCTTCCCAACTAACAATATCTAATTTCTTGAACAATTATTAGAAGCTAGGTTATCAACTTAGAATGTGACAGAAAACATCCATAAAAGTATGTTTTTTTTTACACCAATCATAACATAACCCTTGTCTCTGCTCTTGCAATTATTTAAACTCTTGTAAAATTGAGATTATATTGATAGGCCTAAGAGGATTGAAATATCAATTTAGGACCATACTAACTTTAGCTGATCCATTAATATTGTTATGAGCATGAAAATTTAAACATTGGGTAAAGGTCAAAAGGAAGAAAAAAAAGTATATAAAATATGTATCTATTGATTTCAAAGTTGAAAATGTGTTGTTATATTGATTTCAATTTTCTTCCTTACAACCTAACTATTAACCTTTACTGTTTGGCTCTTGTTTATTGTTCATTAGAGATGTTGGGAAGGTGAATTCCATGACAAACTGTTCTACTTGCCAGATTATTAGATCCTAACACCAGACATTAATTATTACAACAGTTAGTGGCTTTTGTATTTTGAAATAAAATCAATGTGAAGGTTGAATTAAAACTTAAAATTTTAAACCTTGAAAATGTGAAATGTCATTTTGATTATATTGTTTAGATTGCCATTAGACTGGTGTAACACTATAGTGACATGTTTTCATATTTGCATTGTCATTGGTCATTCCCTTTATATAGACTGATTGGCAATAGTTTAAATTACATACACACAAATATTTACAACTTGTTTCATTATCACCATCAGTTAGTTGAGAACCATAGAATGAACCCTTAAAAATTGGATCTTTCTGATATTCTGAAGGTACAAAAACCAAAATTCCAATGGATGGAAAGGAATTTTTAATTTCAATTCATCTACCAAAATTTTGCCCTTTAATTTCAATTGTAAATGATTTATTGTTTCGATATACAGATGGCCAAGTTATTCTAAAATTGAATTCTTTTTCAATTGTTACATCTATCTATACAAGTGTTATTTTCCTCCAAACCAGTGATTTTATTTATCTTTTCATCTTTTGGATTATTTGCATCATTGAAAATTGGACCATTAACACAAGAGTGTGTAAATGCTAATAGTCTTTTTGTATCTGAAAGGAAATTACAGTTATCAGATATAGTGAGGTCCCATGTTCCCATCCTTCAGGTTAAAAGATTTTGTTTAAGGATAAAAAGAGAAAAATTTTTAATTCTTTCTCTTTATTCCTCAACTCCCAAGTTCTCCACCAGTGCATTATTATTTTTAAGTAGCTGTCACTATAGGATCGTATGCATCTGAAATCTTATCAAAAATGTTTCTAGTCCAAATGGGCTATCCATAGTAGATAAGCAAAAAATGGCGATTCTTAGTGTTTTATTTATTAAGCATTTTTTTGGATATGCTGGAAAATGCAGATAAAATTTTGGGTTTACCCTAACCTTAAACATTTTCAATAGCTCTAATGTTCAGTTGGCACTCTGAATGTATTCTATCAACCCTAAATTGTTCTATTAAAGACTTACATTATGGTAATTTCTCTGAAGAAACTTGCTTTTAGAACTGTCAAATCAGATCTCTATCTTCAAAGTATGTTGTGTAAAAAGTACAAATTAACAATGCCCACAAAACTTGGTGATGTTCTATTTAAATATTCAATTTTGGATAAAAAACCATTTTCAAACAGAGATTTGGAAATATTCAAAAGTGACATTATAAAATTATCATATGTCTATATTACTATTGAAAAGTTTAAGAATATTTTTGATTTTAGCTTTCTGGAGAATCATCCTATTTCAACTTTAATAATTGAAAACATTCCAAGCTTTTACATTGATGTATCCTTCTCAAAGTCTGTTGAACATTCAACAATTGATCAGTGCTCATTTGACTATAAAAAAATGAAGAAATCCAAATTCAACCCAATCAACTTTTCTGGATTAAAGTCAATTAAATTTATACATAATTTTACAACATCAAAAGATTTAAAAATCCTCCAATTACTCTTAAAGAGTTCTTGTAGAATTCTTAGAAAGCTTGAATTGATTTTTACTGCTTCAGATAAAGTAATGAACTTTAAATGGATAATTTCTGGTTTAAAATCATTGCATTCATTGGAAAGTGTCAACATTTCAGTAAATAACCTATTTTACAAAAAGAAATTTCAATTCTTCAACAAAATCTTTGAAAATTTAAAAAATTCTGGAGAATCTCTTAAAAGTTTTACTCTTCAGCTGACAATGATAGACAAAAGAGAAGCATTTGCTTTGGCATCTTTTCTGAAAGAATGCAGGCATTTGGAGGAATTCTCATTATCTTTACAGGAAAATAGTGACAAATGGTTGAATGTTCATAAGATTTTCTCCTCTCTGGAATCCTCAATAGATAGTCTATTAATTCTCAATTTTCAGTATAAATATAACACAAAATTCAATGATCCTCTTGAAAATTTTATAAAGAAATGTAAATTGTTGAAATCACTCAGTTTAAGGAATATGAACATTTTGAATGGAAATATTTTAAAATATGCAATTTCCAGTTCAAAACACTTGGAGGAAATTAACCTATCACAGTCAATTCTAGGTGATAACCAATGGGAAGATTTAATTTTACTCCTGGAATCTTGTTGCAAGCTAAAAACATTGTCACTTTCAAATATCAACATTTCAAACAGTCACTTTAAAACTTTCTGTCAGAGTTTATTGAATTCAAAATTATCAATCGAAAATATTGAAAAATTTGACTTGTCTTACCAAAATTTGGAAATTAACTATCAGCAACTTTTTGCTGGATTAGAAGTATCAGCAACACATTTAAAATCATTAAACTTTTCCCATTGTTCACTTAATGATAGTAGTTGTGAAAGTTTGGGTGAATTGTTAAAAAAATGTAGAAATCTTGAAAGTATTGATACAAGCTTTAATAGGCATATTAGAAATGGATTAGCTAGTGTTTTTGAAGGACTAACTATTTCTGGAAATTCATTGAAATCAGCTAATTTTCTAGGTTGTTGTATGCCAACTGATGATATATATTTCCATCTCTTTTTGGATAAATGTAACAGCTTAACTTGTATTTCTTTTGGTGAAATTGATACTTTGGGACACAAATTTGAATCTATTTTAAACAGTTTGAAATTATTAACATCTACTTTGACAATTCTAAATATCTTGGATTATTCCGTTTCATCATACCATCAAGTTTTCTTGGAACAGTTGTACAAAGAATTTGAGCATTTGGAAGAAATTTTTGTGCACTATGGAAATGAAAGACACTTCTCAGTTTTAAAAATTAATTACAGTTAATCTGTGAATTTAGGCCTAACTTTCTCCACATCAATTTTTGTCATCTATTGCATGTATGTTAATTCCTAAGTTAAGGTAAAAAGGGAAAGGTTTGTCTTTTTGCTACCAAATTGAAAACAATAAAGTTTGTATTGAGAATAGGAATTTGGTTTCTTTTTGGACATAAGACAAACTGAATTCAAACGTATAGAAATTGCAAAATTCAAGAAACTTTCTCTCAGAAATCACTATAGACCATCCTAACTTAGAATGTATGACAGTAGGTTTGTCAATGCTTCCTTCTAATATAGTTCTTGGAGCTATTAAGTCAATGTAATCGCATCCTATCAGTAGATTGACTGATTGATGTTCAGTTCTGATATGCTTATGTCTTTTAGGCACTGCCATTTCGTCCTTTCTTCGCTTGTTGTCGCCCTTTGATTGACTGTGGCGACCTCTGGATATTCCAGGGCCTTCAATACTCTCCCATCAATGGTAATTTTGCGTTCCGCACCTTATGTGTCTTTTTACACTTCGCCATCATCATGAGGTCAATTTTTGAATTAATTCTTTCTCTGCCATATCTTTTATTGATAGTCTTGATGCTGCTCTCAGCTGTTCACCTACTACATTGCTACACTTGTTTTGATTGCAATATGTTTTAAACCTTAGGAATCTCAATGCACCTCTATAGCCATCAAAACCTTCTCATCTCCTTTTTGTATTTCATCATACAACTGTGTGTACAACAGCTCTTTACTTCTCCTATTCATCTTTTCCGCTGTACCTAGTGAACAACTTTCATAATACTTTATGCATAAACTATATTACTATGGGGTCGGGTGTGAACGTACCTGGGTGCGAACGTACCCGGGTGCGAACGTACCCTGGGCGGGTGCGAACGTACCCTGGGCGGGTGCGAACGTACCTGGGTACGTTCGCACCCTATTTTTATATTTATTTTATTTTTGAATTTTTGAATAAACATGTACATTGACACCCTTTTTTCCTTCTGTTCCTTCATTATATATTTGTTAATATATTGATTTGATAGAATGCAGATATTAAATAGAATACATATCCCATCAATATTAAATTACTACTTTAAAAGAAAATGTTGTTGAAAGTGAAATAGCAGCCATTTTAATAGTGATAGTTTTATTAAATAAACTTTCACTTGGAATATTTATCCTTGCAAAAGTAAAGCTATATTTACTGAATAAATTTGGACAAAGTTCTTCTTGGAAGCTTCAACAGAAGTGAGTATTTATATCTAATCATTGAGATTGTTGATTCATGATATTTTGATGTAATATACTATCTTCAATTGTGAAAAAGCTGAATATTTTTCATAAATAAAATTTCAGCCATTTTGAATATTTGGAAAGGAAATTTATTGATAACTGGAAATATTTTTAGATAACCATCTACATTTGATTGAAGATTAAAAAATGGCTTTCAAATGTCACAATTGTCATTCAACAATTTATGGAAGGCAAAAATATTTGAAATGCAGCCTTTGTAAGAATCTTATTCATAGGAAATGCACAGGTATGTAACTCTTTAATCAGCTTTCATGTAATTATATTTTTTAACATATTCTTATAGAAACACATAACATACCAATTTGCAAACCTTGTAACAAAAGAAAATGTACTGTCATGCTCAAGAAGTTAACTAATCTGGAAATTCATCAATTCAAAGTAAATTCTGAAGAAAGCTTTATTGATGAAAGAAATAAGATTGCTGCAGTTGAGGAATCAATATTGGAGGATGAAAATCATGTTCTTTCAGAATGCCAATCAATGGACCTAGACTCTTTGGAGGAAGTTGAAGAGAATGCTGAAGAATATTGTGAATCATCCACAAAAAGTGATTTTGAGATTGTAAAAGGAGGAAGTAGAAAGGGACATGACATTTTACTGAATGATGGATATTCTTTTGTTGTTAAACATAAAACACCATCAAGTACTATTTGGGTGTGCAGTGTGAGAAGTAAGAAGAAAAGATGTGTGGCCAGAATAAGACAAAATGGAAATTTATTTCTCAAAGGCAATTTGGAACATAATCACAACAGAAAAAAGAATTTAGAAGTGGATATTAAAGTGAAAACAGATTTGAAAATTGTTTGCAGAAGTGATAATCAAACATCTGGAAGAAGCATTGCTGAAAAAGTTCTTCTATCCTATGAACCCAATGCAACTTGTCTTCCGGATATCAACTATTTGAAGAGAATGGCAAACTCAAATAGACAAAAGTTTAGGCCAGTGGAACCTAAAGTGTACAACTTTAATTTAGATGAAACATTTTTGCCTGATGAATTTTTGCAGAAAGATATTTGTGAAAATGGAGAAAGAATTTTAATCTTTGCAACAAACCATCAGCTGAATTTATTATCAAAATCCAACTGTTGGTACATTGATGGTACTTTCAAGATTGTAAAAGAACCATTTTATCAACTTGTCACTATTCACTCATTTGTTAAGAAGAGTGGTGATATGAAGCAAGTTCCTCTTGTTTTTATTTTTCTGACTTCAAAGCATACCAAAGCATACTTACAAGCATTTCAAGTAAATATTTCATATTATCTCTTCAAAAGTGATGATAAATAAAGTTGCTTTTTTGTAGCATATCAACAATCTTATCAATGATTTTCATCCAAAAAGAATTACAATGGATTTTGAAAAAGGACTATGGAAAGCATTATCAAAAGTATATCCCCTCACTGAATTTCAAGGTTGTGTATTTCATTTCACACAAGCAGTATACAGGAAAATACAAGTCAGTTACATTCAAATATATATAACATTATCTATTAAATAACTTATATTATTGAATAGGCTCTTGGCTATGTAAAGAAATACAAAGAAAAAGGAAATGATTGGAAAGATTTCAGAAAATTGATGGCTCTGCCATTCTTGCCAGCACATATTATTCAACCAACATTTGACAGCATAAATGCAGAACTTTGTGAAAAAAATAGATTTTTGGACCTGCTGCAATACTTCCAAACAAACTGGATCAAAAATAAATTATGGAAACCAAATAACTGGTCAGTTTTTGGTTTGTCTATTAGGACCAATAATGATTGTGAAGGATGGCATCAAAGAATGAATAGTAAGCTGCCTGCTAAAGGTTCTTTTTACATGCTGGTTGATGAGCTAAAAAAAGAGTCTGAGTTGATTGCAGTTTATGAGAAATTACTGTCAGAAAAAAGGATTTACAAACATCAAAAGAAAAAGTATATTGACATCCAAAAGAAAATTTTTGATTTATGGGATGATTTCAAGTTGAACAAATTGACATCAATTGATCTATTAATGCAGACATCCCATATCTACTCTCCAGCATAAATATCATTTGTCAAGCTTTATTGTTTTTTAGTATAATATTTAGTCTTTTAAATACATACTTTTAGATTTATAGCTAAATCTTTTATTCAAAAATTCAAAAATAAAATAAATATAAAAATAGGGTGCGAACGTACCTGGGTACGTTCGCACCCGCCCAGGGTACGTTCGCACCCGGGTACGTTCACACCCAGGTACGTTCGCACCCCAACTCTATTACTATACATAACCTATAACAATACCACTATCTAACCTAATAACAAGAATGACATTCTTTATTAGGGTGTGGCAAGGACTATTATCATTGCCAACCTAATAGTTATTATCCTAGCCCACCTATCTATTTAAAGAGTAACAAAGGCAGAATTGTGGGAGCAATTTCTAAATTTAATTCTAAAGCATATGATCAATTCTTAGTAAAGAGTTTAGACCTAATCTCAACCTATATTCCTAATATTCCCATACAAGTTACATTCCAATAAGCCTAATATTGAAGTTTTCTTATTTTGAGTTGTTTTGTTAAAATTGTAGAATGGATGCCAACCACTCTAAATTTTATACATCATACTCAGTTTCTTCAATTGTGTGTGAACAGCATCTCAAAATAATTTAATGAACTGGTGAAATTCTATCTAAAACTTGTTTACAATTGTTTAAATGTCCCTTCAAAAGTGTTGGCAAACTTATCACTTTGTTTAATTTTACTGAGAAAAAGGATATAATAATATGAGATAAAATTTACGTATGAGTAATGTCTATTTTGAAAGTTTATTAAAGTTAAGGTAACTTAAAACAATCTGTTTTAGGTTAAATGCTAAGGGATATGATGGATCTTCAATACCTGAATACAGTGTACTTGTTGATAATGTTGAACCATATGTATATATAAATATACCTGACACTGTTTTAGGCAGTGGGGGAAATAATTTCACATTTGTTTCTTCATTTAACTGTGTCGATGGTTCGGATTCTGCGTCTTTTGAATTAAAAACACTCTTTCTCCAAGAAGGTGATCAGAGACAGATAATTAATTCTTCCTTAACATGTCTATTTTTAAATTTTCTTTCATTTCAGATCCAAATGATTCTTCCCTTTCTATATGTCTTTTTGGAATAATAGTTTCCAATGTGCAACAATCTTCCACAATAGTTATGCTTAATTGTAATTCGCACCAAGGAACTTGCAAGTAAATAATTTGTATTCAGCAGTTTTTGACCAATCAAAGTTGTTTATCTTACTATTCTTTTAGTGCTTCTGTTATTGATTCTAGTAAAGCAACTATAGACACTACTTCCAACATTACAATTGATAACAATAACATACCAATTACAGTTACTCAATTCAATTTTGCTGACTCAGCTATTAAAAATAAACTGTAATTTGTCTGATTACCAAACTTCTGCCAATATTCCAGTATATTTTATTCCTAGTGCTGATCCATGGGCAACAGCTTCTAAAGATCCTTATTTTAAACAAATTGTATTTGATAGCCTACACTCTATGGATAGGCCTATCTGTTACGATGTTACTGGTAAACCTAATAGCTATCTAAAAATAGTTGAATATTCAAAGATTGGAGTTGAAATTTATGGTCAGCTTAAAGATGATTATTACATGCATAGAATTATTATTAAATCCCTTGTTGGTAATGTAACTGTATCAATGAATTCAATTATCATTCACAATAGAACACAACTGAATTGGATGGAAAATTCAAAAAGATTAATAATTCATTCAGAATTTTTTACATATGCAATATTTTCTAGCCAAATATTCATAACAGTTTTACAAGAAACTCCTATAGAAATTATAATTGCAAGGACAAGACATTCTATAGAGCAATTGCATTTAGATGTCAGCTTTAAATTTGTTCCAAAAGATTATGAGGAAATGGGTGGGCTTTTGGGTCATATTGGCAAAAAACAATTTAAATTCTACTCAAATGTTCAATCAAACTCTGAGAACAGCATTTCAGAAATAGGAACAATTGGAATTGATAACAATTTGACTTTTGCAAGAAAAGTTGAAAGAAGTGGAAAACACTGTTGATTAATGGATGTTGATGATATTTTGAAACCTCTTCAATTATCTCGTTTCTTTTTTAAAAGCATTAATTGATCAATTATTGAGATATATAGCATTTAGTAAAACTTTTTCACTCATTTCTTGAGGAGAATCACCTCAGATATGATTATTAAATAATGTTTTTATAGGTCTAATTTTACTAATATCAATAAATGACTACTTTCTAAAGCTTTTTAAATACGCATACTATTTTGTATTGTAACTTAGATTGAGTATTGTTGATTTTAGATAAATAAGCCTGCAACTGTTCATTTAAACTAAAAATCTTAACAATTTTGCAGCATTTCTGCAAAAGATCATACGATTGTTTTAAACAAATTCCTACTTTTCCTTTTATTTGATAAAACTTTGTCAACATCCAACATTAATAATGCCGGATTATTGTTTACTGAAAGAAATAACTAAAAATTCTGGTTTACTAATGAAGAGTTTGTTTAGAAGAAAATCATTGAAGAATATCCAGAAGTATAGCTATTGTTATGTTATCGCTCAAAAGAGGGCGCTAAATAGAGATTTTTTCTATTGACACTGTATTTGGAAACATTTTTAGAAAAAAAAATGTAGGCTGAAATTTACAATTCAGAATGACAAAAAAAATCGGAATACAGAAAAGTTTAGTGATGATTTCCAAAATAAAGGTGTAAGTTATCCAAATCTGTATTGACAATTACAGATCCTTCAATAGCAGCTCTGCAAGAGGAACACTTAGGTTTTGAGAGACTCAATGGTGAATGTTTGTGTTTTCATTTTACCAATTACAAAATAGGGTCCTTTTTGGTAGATACTTGCAGAATACTTTCTATTTTTGTTACAAACTGAACAGGTCCAAATTGTGGCTGCTTTTCTTTTCATTTTTATGATAAATGTTTATCCTTTGTAGATGAGAAGATGTTTACTTTTTTCACTGCCATTTGGTAAAATTTTGAAATAAAATCATCAGTGGAATTGTCTTTTTGACTAGCATTACTTTCAAATGACTCCTCTTTTTAAAAACAACAACAGTTTTGTATAGGCAAACTCTTAAGGGTCAATTGTTACATCATATTTATGTAAATGAATACTTGCTGTTCTTTTCAACATGTTTGGTTATCTAACATCTTATCCTTTGCCTATAAAAGGGGTTGATTCTTGTAGTTGGGTACCATCTACCCTATGGGCAATATCTACTTCAACACTTCCACTATATAGTAAGTACTATTCATATATTCCTCTTGAGAACCTTAAGAAGGCGGAGCGACTATTAAAAATGGCCCTTTTGGCTTATTATGGGAGCGATGATAAACTCTAATTCAAGCACAAAGAAATTGAAAAATTCAAGAAAATTTTTCTCAGAAATCATACAAGTTTTGTTGCAGTGGAACAGAAGTGAAAACTTTTTCTCCCTACTTCTCCACTAACTTCTTTTGTTCTAATTAATTACCTTGATATTGAATGAATGAATAATAAATAAATCATTAATAAATCCATTATGTACTTTTTTATAAAAGCAAAAAAACACACACAATTAATTGTCTATTTCCTTAGCAAAAAACTACAAACAAACAATCTTTTCTGTGTGAATATATATATACTGGTTATCAGAAAAACAGGCCGAAATTGATCTGTGTGAACTGACCACCATACTATAACAAACAGTTGGCATGGAGTTGTGATAGAACTTCAAGGTAGGATTTGGGGCATTTCTAGGGTCAGGAACGGATTAATGGAAGTCTGTTACAGACTGATGAAAATGTAGATCCTCAATTTAAGATTGAGTAATCCAAACATTTGGGGAAATAATGTTACAGTTTTTCGAGAGGATTTCCTTTTTGGAAACATCATTCCTGGAAATTTCTTTCCTCAAAAATCCCTTCCTGGTGAAATTCCTCTTGATGATCAATTTACAGGTTATTTGGAATGCAAATATGATAATTCTGAAGAGATATACAAACAGAAAATACTTTTTCGCAATTGTGATAAAAGCCGTCTAATCAATTGTTATTACCAGTTTTCACTCATAAATAAAATTGTATATTATATAAATTAACTTTTTTTTATTTAGTTGATGGATTTTTTCCTATGCTCTATTTTTTAAGTTACATTGATCCTCCTTATAACAAAGAACAGACAAACTTTACTTTTATTTTTGATGGTGGTGATCATATTCATACTGCAGAATGCTCGTAATTACATTTTTTTCATAAACAATCAACCAACGCAATATTAAATAATTCAAATGATTTTTAATGATAGCTTTTTGTTGAAGAAAAATTTAATCATATTGTTTTAACTGGTGCTGATTCTGGAACTTTAGGCCTAGGTAGGGAAAAAAAGTTTATAGAAAGAGTATATATGTTTATTATAGCGTGGTTTGTTCAAAAGGTTCATCATTTGATTTTACAATGGAGGCTGATTACTCTACACCATTGAATTATGAGGCAATATTTACTGCAAATTGTTCTATAGACAGAATTCCAGGCATTTTTACATATGAATATAGTTTTATCTTTAAAGCAACTCAACAAAGTTTAGTAAATGGCGATCCGCATTTTTCTCAACTGATCTATGATCAACAATCTCAAACTACTAATTTAATTTGTTATGATATTGTTGGTAAATCTGATCAAAGAATTCAAATTATTGAATTTGAAAAGGAGAAAATTGAAATTTCTGGAAAATTACTCGATGATTATTATATGCATGAAATCAATCTCTATTCCAATATCATCAATATGACAACAACTACAAAAGGCCTATTTGTTGATAATATTCCAATTTGCTCACTCAATGGTCATAATTCTTATAATGAACAAAAAATTGGAATGTACATTGTGCAATAACATAAACATAAAGTTGTTATTTCTAATCAAAATCTATTTTCTCTTAGTATTGAAAAATTTCAAAATTCATTCCAAAGAGAATATCTGAATATCATTATTGATAGGCCAATAAACAGTGATTATTCAAATATTGGAGGACTTATTGGAGAAGTGGGAAATATGAATTTTGAAATTTTTCAAAAAATTCAAAATAATGAAAATAATGTTGGTATAAGAATTAATGATGATAAATTGATTTGGGGACAATATCAAAAACGACAATCTCAGCAATGTTTACTTATAAACATTAAAGATGTATTAAATCATGAAAGAATATCGCAATTGATAAGATAAACCATGTAACAACTCAAAAATTTTTAACCAAACTCACTGAAAAAATATGTTTCTTTTAATTTTTTTGTATCATTTTAAAGTTTTTAAACTTTCTATTCTGGATTCTTCTGTGGAAAACCTTTTCAGCATATAGTAATAATATCAGCCAGACTAATATCTAACTTATTTAAAGACTGGTTACTCCCCCATTTCCAACAGAGAATATCCAATTTCTACTAGAAGCTTAGGTCATCAACTTTGCATGGAACAGAAAACATCTGCAAAAGCATGTGTTTTTTACCCAAATCATAACCTAACCCTTGTCTCTGGTGAAAATTTAAACATTGGCAAAAGGTCAAAGAAAGAAAAAAAAGTTTATAAAATATATATCTGTATTGCTTTCAAAGTTAAAAATGCAATGTTGTTATATTGATTTAAACACTTAAACATTGAAAATGTGAAATATCATTTATCTTCTTATTAACATACCGTCTTTACAAGTTGTACTACATTCTTTCAAATTTTTTTTCTTAAATTTGTCTGTACTTCCACAATTTGAATTGTAACACATTAGTGGCCTGTAACCAATCCTTCTGTAAACTGAAATTGTCAAAGAACCAGCACTATATGAACACTCAGTGCTGCTAAGCTTACAAACTGTACTGGTAAAATCAAAGGAGAAGCACACAGAATCAGCTTGAGATAAGCAAATTCTTCCACAATCTTTCAAACTTATTGCACTATGTACATCTGGAAATGTTGTAAAAGCTCCAATTGCGGCTACCTGATTAAAGCCTATAACTGCTGTATTGTCATAAAAACACTTTCCATTAACATAACAACATCCAAACTCTGCATATTTGACACTTGTTACTAAACTGGGAGCACATTCTTTTTCCAAAGTAGGAGAACATTTTTCAGGGTTTACAACTGTATCTATAAAAAAAAGGTGATTATTTCTTTGATGTTGACATAATTAAGTTTTCAAAGCAAACATCCAATCAATTACCACATATATCATCTTTTGGTCCATAGTTTTTGAAAACAATACATGCTGATGCATTGACTAATTAATGGTATTTAGTGGGTGCAGTGACATTTCGGGCCAGGACATTTCGGCCCACTTTGGAACATTTCCGCCCAAAATATTTCACCCCATGTTAGAAAAATAACAAGAAAAAACATGTAATTTTCAATTGCAGTTCCACATATATATATATATATATATAAATCATTCAAAAAATTTGAAACATTTTCATATTACCAGTTTTCTTTTTTTCAAAAGTATATTTTACTATTTTTTGCAATTTCCTTTTCCTGTTGTGAAAAAAGTAGAGGGTATATTTGTTTTCTTGCATTTCATCCTAGTTTTGATAGAAACCACAGCATGAATTTGAAAAATTGTTGGAAGTGTGGATTGAGGTGTGGAAAATAGATAATTATCATCAGAGTGAAATTCTTCAAGAAAGTGATATTGATATGGAATCTTCAATGGATTATGCAAGTGAAAACAACACATATCAGGTAATTTCAATGCTTAAAAAATATTAATATCTCACTCTAAATTATTTTTGACAGCTGAGACTCTCTTTTGACTTTAATTCAACTGAATCATCAAATATTGAAAAAGAGGTGAATCTTCCTGATAATAGGCAAGATATGAGAGATATGAAAGTTGACATCAGTGATGAAACTTCATTTGAGATGGATGAGCAGTGTAACATTATGGAAACTGAAACAGATGAATTCAAAATTGTTGTTGGTGGAAGTACCAAAGGTAAAGACTTACTTCTACACAAAAATTGTTTGTATTCCATGAAAAGAAAAACTGAGAGTTAAATTACCTGGAGATGTACTCAAAGATATGCTAAAAATTCTTGTCCTGCATACATAATACAAAAAGGATCAAATTTCATTGTAAAAAATGGAAACCATCTTCATAAGTTGTATAAAAATCTGGAAAATGTTCTTCAATCAAGAATGGATTTGAAAGAAATGGCAAATTGTGACAATGACAAAACTGGTAAAAGAATAGCAGAAGATATTATTCTTAAATTTAAAGATAATATTGAAGACTTACCAGAATTAGAATCACTAAGAAGAAAAGCTTCCATAAAGAGAATAGAAGACCAAAGCATCCTAGAGATTTACACTTTGAAATAAATCTAGATGAAATTCCAATGGATTTCTTATTGAAAGATATAAAAGAAAAGAAAAATCGATGTATTATATTTGGTACAAATCATCAAATAGAATTACTTGAATGTTGTAAAATTTGTTTCATTGATGCAACTTTTAAAGTTGTTAGAGATCCATTTTATCAACTCTTTTCAATTCATGGATTCTTGAAAAAACATGATGAATATCAGCAGGTTCCATTGACTTATGTTCTGATGAGTAGCAAAAAGAAAAACTGCTATATTGCTGTTCTTCAGGTTTGAAATTTTTCAGTATGATATTCACTTTTAATTTAACTCCTTATAAATGAACACAGGAGATAAGAAAATTACTGAATGATAAAACACCCAGGAAATGTGTTCTTGATTTTGAAAAGGCTATATGGATGGCACTTAAAGACCAGTTTCCTAATTCTGACCTTCAAGGATGCTCTTTTCATTTCAAGCAAGCAATTTTGAGAAACATTCAGGTAGATTAAACAATACTGCAAACAATTAAATATTCATAGAAAATTTTTTGTTAGAAACTTGGATACATTAATGATTATAAAGAAAATGAATATAAAGGGAAAATGTTACAAAAATTGATGTGTTTGGCCTATCTTCCAGCAAAATTTATTGAACAAAAGTTTTTTCAAATAAAAGAAGAACTTTGTGAAAAGAAATTCTTTTCAGATTTGCTTGATTATATTGAAGAAACATTTATTAAAAGCAGCATTTGGCCTCCTAAATTCTGGTCTGTCTATCAATTGGCTGTGAGAACAAACAATCATGTTGAGGCATGGCATTCCAGGCTTAACAAAAACTTGAACATGGATGAGAACTTGTATTCCCTCATAAAAGAATTAAGAAGAGAAGCTGAGTTAGTAGCAATCTTTGAAAAGTTATTGTCTGAGAAAAAGTTAAGAAAGATACAAAAGAAGAAGTATCAAGATTTACAATTCAAAATATTTCAGTTGTGGAGTAAATTTGAAGAAAGAGAACTGAGTTTGGATGAATTATTGGATGGACTTGTACATTTAAATATTTTTTAAAAGTTAACATTTCTTACTCTGCATTTTTGTTATTGTATGTTATATCATTCTTTTACTGTTTTGAAATTGTTTCCTTTCTTATTGAAAAAATAAACATAATCCATCATAAAATGGAAAGTTATATTCTTGAATATTAATGCTCTAAAATGGGCCAAAATGTCCTAAAGTGGGCCAAAATGTCCTGGGCCGAAATGTCCTAAAGTGGGCTGAAATGTCCTGGGCCGAAATGTCCCAAAGTGGGCCGAAATGTCCAAAAAGTGGGCTGAAATGTCCTGGGCCGAAATGTCCTGGCCCCTATTTAGTGCATGCTTTTAGAATACAATGTTGATTGTCTTTCATAAAATTGATCAATCTAAAAATTTGAAAATTTCAAACCAAAATTTGTACAAAGTAATAAATTAACCTGCACTGGGAATTATCAATACAAAGCTGTTTACAAGAACTAAGTGTTTGACTGAATACTTCTGATAGATCACCATAATAAAGTCCTATATCAGGAGTTATCTCATTAAAACAAACTGTTTAAATAGAAAATTTCTTGTTAATTTCAATTTTGATTAATAAAAAAGAAAGACAAAATTATATTTTCAATTTTTTACCATCTCGACCTGAAAATGTTCTTTTCAAGTAAATTGAATATAGAAGGAAAAAGAGACATTTCCATTGAAACATGATTCCAAAAATGATATAGACAGGTTTTTCTTGTTTCCTTTATTGACAATTTTTTTTAACATTGGAATTAATTTAAAATTATATCAAATGTACACTTATGAACTATAGTTTATAGATATTTTATAAATGATACTTACTATATAGTAGAAGTGTTGAAGTAGATGTTGCCTCTAGGGTAGATGGTACCGAACTGCCAGAATCAACCCCTTTTATAGGCAAATGATAAGATGTTACATAACACACATGTTGACAACAACAAGTGTTTATTTACATAAATATGATGTAAGAATTGACCCTTGAGGGGTAACCTACACAAAGTTGTTGTTGTTTACATCACTATTGCATAATATGATAACCCTTGACCCTGTTTGTTGTGAACAATCCTTATCTGGGGTTAGACCCTTGTTGTTGACAGCCAAGGCATAAACAACTGATCAGGAATTGTATAAAAGCATATAGTAAGTATTATTCATAAAATATCTATAAACTATAGTTCATAAGTGTACACTGACTATATTCAACAATTTTTGTAAGTTATTTATAATGTATTATTGGAAAATCTTCAGTTTTATGATGAATTGGATCATTAACAACCATTGTTTTATATCCTTTTTTTCTTCAAATTACATTATGTATAAGAGCTATAAAAACCTTCAGTTTCAGATCAACATGACTAGCATTTATTACAGTTTATAGGCTTAACAAGAAAACTAATATACATAAGACAATTTTTCCATATCAGGGACTGCCTAAAATTGGGAAAGAATGTCTTGAGATACTTAATTAAAACTAGGTCAATTGATCA